AGTCTTGAGAATAAAGGAACAAACGAAGGCCATTCAATTCACCAGCCTGGTCTACCTTTTAATTAGCTAAGACCATAAGACATAGGAACATGAGCAGGCCATTCCACCCTCAAGCCTTCTCTGCCATTCAATAGTATCATGGCTGAAACAACATTCTTCATGTCCATTTTCCTGCCTTTTTCCCATAACCTTTGACTCCCCTATTATTCAAGAATCTATCTAACTCAGCCTTAAATATATTCAAGGACTCTGCCCCCACAACTCTCTGTGGCAAGGAGTTCCAGAGAATCACAACCTTCTGAGAGAAGAAATTCTTCCTCTTCTCAGTCTTAAATTGGCACCATAGTTCATCTGTATCTGAACTCCATCATCCACCTTTCTTCCATAGCCGTTAATATCTTTGCTTAACAATAATCTAGCAGTCTTAGTTCTGAAATGTTCAGTTGAGTCCAGATTCAACAGCTATGGAATGGGCGGGTTCCTGGTTTTCACTCACCTCTTTGTGAGGAAGTGGGTTTTATTCCTGAAAGATCTGGCTTTCATTTTAAGATTACACTGCTAGTTCGGGATTCCTCCATCAAAGGAAACAAGCTTTTTTTCTCTATCTTTCCTATTGAGTGTCTTTATCATTTTAAACACCTCAAATGCATTACCCTCAACTACAAAGAACACCAGTCAAAATTATGCAACAACTAGAGGTGATTTGTCCCTCATCAAATGGATTTGAGTATGAGATGAAATGACAGCACAGTAAAGCAGGGGACAATCACGACAACAATTTAGATTATTTTTCCTGCTTTTCTTAGGAGATAATGGATGCCTGAAATCAGCTCCCAGAAGAAACCATTTGTTCCCTCCCTGTGCTTTTCAGCAGATTTAATCACCAGCAATTACAGGGCAGCAAAGACATTGTATTCTTACTCATTTGTTCTTACCTGTATGGGGAACTACAGTTTTATTTATACATTCTTGAGATGATGTCGTCCCTAATTAGTATTGAGAAGGTGAATTGCTGCATGTGGTGTAGGTACATCTGCAGTACCCTTACCGTGGTCAGTGCCTGTGTTCATATTGGTTGGTGCATCTCAGAGTCACACAAGTGTTACAGGGCTGCAGGAGGCCATTCAGTTCATCATGTCTGCAACACGCTTCAAATGAGCATCATATTTAACACTGTGCAACATATGGAGGTATTGAACTGATGACTCAAAATATGGGCACGGTGTTCAGCAATGGAGTCTATAACCGTCATTACTCTATAACCTCTGTCAATGTGCTTGCAATTTCTAACTCCAGATCATTTGTGAAGATATTGAAAAGATTCTGAAGTCCCAAAGATAGATCCCAGTGGGACCCCACTGGTAACATTTCCTCAGATTGATGAAGATCTCTTCATCACCACTACCACTGCCTCCTCTGGGCACTATTAGTCAATTAGTTATTAAATTCTAAAAAAATTCTCCACTGATAAGGTTGACACAGTGGCTCAGTAGTCAGCATTGCTGCCTCGCAGTGCCAGGGACCTGGGTTCAATTCTACCTTCAGGCAGCAGTTCAAAAGCACTTCATTGACTATTTCGCAAGAGTTGTTAATGCAAGTAAAGTAAAGTGCTTTTGACACAATGTCTCCATGGGTTTCTACCACGTACTCTGGATTCCTCCCACAGTCCAATGATGTGCAGGTTAGGTGGATTGGCTATACTAAACTGCCCATTGTATCAAGGAATGTGCAGGCTAGGTGGATTGGCCATGGACAATACAAAGTTGTGGGGATGGGATTGGTCTGGCTGGTGCTCTTCGGAGGGTTGGTGTGGACTGAATGGCCTGCTTCTGACCTGTAGGGATTCCATGATCTACTTGACTTTCAGACCAACCCTTTCAAAGTCAAAGGCCTCATTGAAATCGAACTGTACTCCATCCTACTGCTTTATCTGTAAGAAGCTCCGTTGTCACATCCTTAACAAAAAAGATCAGATTGATAAGATCTCTGAGTCATGAGTCCATATCAACTTTCTCGATGTTTTAGATTCTTTATTATTATCTGAAGAGAAATCACATCCGATTGAAACATTAATTCTGCTTCTGTCTCCACAGATGTTGTCAGACTTGCTGAGTGCTTCCAGTATTTTGTTTTGCTCCATTATCTCGGATTTAACTAGGGGGTTCAATAAACTTGATCTGATTGGCAATCAACCTTGAGCAGCAGTGTTATTTCTAAACTAAACAATCAAGCACCAAAAAAACTTTTTTCATCAACCAACATGGATTGTGTTATACGTTTAATTATTTTCAAGTAAACACATTCTTAACATCAACAAAATTACTTTGAGATTTATGGACCTTGGTTTAGGCTGGATGGATTCAGTTCACATCAGACAAATGCTTATCATGTCACAAAACTTCTTACAGAAAATTAAGGTAAATTGTATGAAACTAAAACAGATTACCCTGCCATATTGATAGTGTCCGGCTCAAGAGCTTACAGAAAATGTCAACGGTAGTGAAACTCAGTAGCCTGCTGACTGAGCAAATGACTTATTGTGTAATATAGATAGAGAAGAAGGTCCCATGTCTTCACCTCTCATTGTAGCAAGCACTGACTGTAAGAGTGACTAACCTAACGGCCTAACAGTTCCAGTGTACAGAGGGGAAACTGAACCGCACTTCTTGTTCATGGCCACTAACAGATACTTGTTGAAACATGCTTGTAGATCTCATTTCCTGCAGCTAAGTCTTATTCATCAGGAAGACAAAGTATAAGAAAAAAAACTTGCATCTATATAGTGCTGTGCTCTATACAGCAAAGTATTTTGAAATGTCACCACTGTTGTAATGCAAGAGGCATGGCATCCAATTTTCACACAGCATATTTCCAAAATGACCAGTGTGTTAATAATTAGACAAACTTTTCTACTGGTGCTCATTGTGGCATTTCATATTGAGCAGAACACCGGGGTGAATTTCTTGCTTTTCTTCAAATTATTCCCATGGGATTCTTTACATCTACCTGAGAAAGTTCAAGTGTGGTTTTGTTTAACATCTTGTCCGAAAGATGGTCCCTCTGACGGTATTGCACTCTCTACACGATACACTGGGCATACCAGTTCTCTGGCATGGGGCTTGAATTTACAATTTTTTTTGACTCAGAAGTAAGTGCGTTGCTTACTGAGGGAGACCGGCACATTGCAACATAACATGCAAAGGCAGGTTTGTTTTTAAATCTTACTTTAGCAATCAGTTATTCACAGGAAAGACTTGATATGAGAAAGGCCATTCAGCCCATTAACTCATTAATGCTGAAAGGACCCACAGTCAATCCCTTCAAAGCATCCAGTTGCTTCCTAAACAGTTTCATGCCTTTTGGTTTCACTGCTCAATGATGAGTTTATTTGATAAACTGGGCCAGGGAACACCATTTCATGAATCAGGTCCTCAGTGCTGAGCAGTCAGAGTGCAACATCTTGGTAGAATGCGGACATCTCAGTGACTCATGGCCTTAGTTACAGAATCCCATTGATCATGACGCAGTAAAGAGCATTAGTACAATTCAAAACTATTTTTGGGATATTTTATAATGTAGCAAATCATCTCCACACTAAAGGTAACAAAATACTAACAAATACTTGTACCACAGTTCAAAAGCACTTCATTGACTATTTCGCAAGAGTTGTTAATGCAAGTAAAGTGCTTTTGAAGTGCTGTCTCTCTTGCAGTGTTTTGCTACATGACAACAGCAAAGGCACTTCAAAAATACTTGATTGGTTGTAAAGTGTTTTGGGATTTACTAATATTTGTAAAGTCACGATATAAATGCAAATTATTTCTTTCCTCATATCAATTGTTTAAGGGAAAATAAATAGAAAATTAGTGCACTCGAAGTTTCCTACAATTCTTTGTGTATACTAACCGTAGATCATTAATCATAAGTAAGGTTAGCAAATGTATTGCATCCTGCAGGCAGCAACTTAAAGCGAACACCTTAAACACGGCACTCAAAAAATCACGTGAAGAGTTAATTAATGCCCTCACTGTTCTTTATGACACACTGGAGTACTGTATTAGCAATTTAGTAAATATTCTATTTGAAAAGATTAGTGTTTTAGGTAGGATTTGAAAATGGGTTGGGTTTAGGCGGAGATCTCTGAAATATTAAAACTGTTTCTTGCAAGGATTAAGCTGTCGACAGTGGTAGCTTTGGCCACCCACCATCTGCATATATTACTGAACAGGTGGAATGGTGTACTTCTTGCTGAGGGAAATATATAATGATTTGTTTCATTAGTCGCATTTTTTAGATAGTGATCTTAAATAAGGCATTATATCATCTTGCATGGAGATAATCCTAACTACAATTTGCTAGTTTGAGGGTATGCAGTGTGTTGATGACAAGAAATACCATCTCCAAATGGACTGTAACACTGTCCAAAGAAAGCAGGCCCAATCCTGGACTGGGGTGGCAGGTCAGGTTAAAATTGGGGCTCAGAATTTTGTAATTTTCCAATTATGGAGTGGTCGTTGCAGATGTACAAGACATTGGTGAGGCCACTTTTAGAATACTGCATACAATTCTGGTCGTCCAGCTATAGGAAGGATGTTGTTAAATTTGAAAGGGTGCAGATCAGAATCACAAGGATGTTGCCGAGGCTGGAAGGTTCGAGCTATGGGCAAATGCTGAATAGTCTGGGGCTATTTTCCCTGGAGTGGTGGAGACTGATGGGTGACCTTATAGAGGTTTATAAAGCCATGAAAGGCATAGATGAGACGATTAGCCAAAGTCTTCTTCCAAGGGTTGGGGAGTCCAAAACAAGCGGACACAGGTTTAAGGTGAGACGGAAAAGATTTAGAAGCGACCTGAGCGGCAACATTTTCACACAAGGGTGATGCGTATATGGAGTGAGCTGCCAGAGGAAATGGTAGAGGTGGGCACAATTACAACATTAAAAGACATTTGGACAGGTGCATGAATAGGAGACGTTTAGATGGATATGGTTCAAATACAGGCAAATGGAATTAGTTCAGTTTAGGATACCTGGTCGGTGTGGGCGAGTTGGACTGAAGGGTCTGTTTTCGTGCTGTATGACTCAAAGGCTGCGTGATCGGTAAATCGCAGGTTGGCTTTTTGTCCCCAGTTTACTTCTTTACACAAAACAATTACTTGGAAATTGAGTGGGTCAATTGAAGACGATATACTGGGTGAGAGGGAATATAATTACCCTCCAGAAAATTAATCATTTCGACTCTTTTCTCGGCTCTGAAAATTTGCAGGATTGGAAGATTTTCCTCATCTCCTGCGGGCATGACTCTCAGGGGACCAGCAGAGATCCTGCAGAAATAGTTACGAGGAAGTTGCAAACTATCAAAAGTGAAAATGCAGCTTGGGGTTCTGTCAAAGACCCAGTATCCAGTGTTTCACATGAACTGTAAACCTTGCTGAAAGAATTTTAATGTGCTCCATTATGCATTTGTAAACTAGTCATCTGCACTTTCAATGCAAGACAGAATTCAAACCTGCAGGAGACAGTGTTCTGTGCTTTTTAAACATTTTTACAAGCTGGTTACCAAACTAGACGTAAGCATTAAAGCATAACAGCAAAAATCTTGATTGCCTTGGTTATTTTCTTTACTGAAAATCCTTTCAATCCTTTTTCTCATTTGGACATTTCTCCCTGATCACCCCGAATAACTGCTAAATTTAACACAGACTCCCATAAACTGACATCAGCCAGAAATTCCTGACCCTTAACTGCTTTCCAAGAAAAAGAATTACAGCAAATGATTTTTTTTTGTTGCAGTGTGGGTAAATTGCTTGCGTGACCCTTTCGTGACACAGGGCAATAAGGCGTTTCTAAAGAGGGCTTGTTCGGAGATCAGCCTGTTGAATCCAGCTCTCTTTGTGAGTGCCATCACAGTATGGAGGACTCTTGGAGTGTTTGCAGCCACACAACCATACCTTCTTCGCCTCTTGCAGTTTGAACCTCAGTGGAGTGGGAGCTGAGGGGATAGACCTGTGGCTCCCATCGCAGAAAGGCTAAAGACAAGAAAGAAAAGCTATTTGGTTAAAAAAAAGATGTAAAATTACAACATTCTCTGGCAGTAATAGGTATTACTGATAAGGGAGACAGATTACAGAAGCTTGTCATCCTGTGTTTAGCAGGACAATTCGCAAGAATGCCAAATAATGAATAATCACAACAATTTATACTACAGGAGGAAAGGAAAAGGGTGAGGAGAGGGATGTAATATTGTTGCATTTGGTTTTTGTTTCCCTTTATTCATTCACAGGATGAGGGCATTGCTGGCTTGGCAGCATTTATTGCCCATCCCTAATTGCAGTTAAGAGTCAACCACATTGCTGTGGGCCTGGAGTCACATGTAGGCCAGACCAGGTAAGGATGGAAGTTTCCTTCCCTAAAGGGCATTAGAGAACCAGATGGGTTTTTCCTGACAATTGACAATGGATTCACGGTCATCATTAGACTATTAATTCCAGATATTTTTGTTGAATTCAAATTCTGCCATCTGCCGTGGTGGGATTTGAACCCAGGTCCCCACTGCACTATCTGGGTCTCTGGATTAACAATCCAGCAATAATACCACTAGGCCATTGCCTCCCCATTGAAACTTGGAAATTTTTGTGTTTGTCCTTTTGAGTGCAAGAAGAAAAGCTTTTGGTAATATCTCTCTCTATTCAATGGTTTACATTGGCTTGAACCCAACATAGGAAACAGGAGTTAGAATGACATGCAAATTTGTGCAGCATTCCATGTCATGTAGCAGGTATGATAATATTGTGTTTATTGCACTGGATTGGTCATCCTGAGATTCATGCTCAGTGTTTTTATTCACTCAGGGGCTTATAGACTTTGCTCTGGGCCAGCATTTATTGCTGATCATTCATTGCCCAAGAAAGTGGTGGTGAGCTACTCTCTCGAACTGCTATGGTCCATTTAATGTAGGTACACTCACAATGTCATTAAGGACAGAGTTCCAGGATTTCGATGCAGCAACACTGAATGAGAAAATGATATAGCTCCAAGTCAGGATAGTGCATTACCTGGAGAGGTGCCTACAGGTGATGGTCTTTGCATATTTCCGCAGACTATGTCCTTCTAGATGGTAGTGGTTATGGGTTTGGAAGATGCTGTCTTAGGAGCTTGGTGAATTTCTGCAGTGCATCTTAGAATGTACAATGCTGCTTTGTGGATGTTTGTGGATGTTGTGCTAATCATACAGGCTGCTTTGTCCCGGATGGAGTCCCAAATCCTACGATTGTAGCAGGGAAATTTAGTTAAATAAATCTGGAATTAAATAAAAAGGCTGCATAAATAAAAAAGGCTCCATTCACTGCGACACAGAGAGAGTGATAGACACTAGCTTTAGGGAGGTGGTCACATCACAGGTCCAGACAGATAGATGGGTGATCGCCAGGAGAGGCAGGCAGGTAGTGCAGGAGTCTCCTGTGGATATTCCCCTCCCTAACAGGTATACCATTTTGGATACTGTTGGAGGGGAATAGCCTCTCCGGAGACAGTACACGCAGCTGGTTCTGCTATAGAGCAGAGGTAGGGCAAAGTCCAGGCAAGTGATAGTAGTAGGTGACTCGATAGTCAGGGGCTGAGACAGGTATTTCTGTGGCGGTGAATGAGACCCTAGGAATGGGTGTTGCCTCCCTGGTGCCAGGGTCCTGGATGTCTCTGAGCAGGTACAGGACATCATGAAACAGGACGGAAGAACAGACAGAAGTCATTGTCCTCACTGGCACAAGTGACACAGGTAGGAAGAAGGAAGAGATCCTGTGAAGACAATTCAGGGAGTTAGGTAGGGAGCTAAAAAGCAGGACTACCAGGGTAATAATCTCAGGATTACTACCCATGCCACGGGCTAGTGAGGCCAGGAACAGCAAAAGAGGAAGGAGGGCTTTAGATATATGGATCATCAGGATGTCTTCTGGGCAAGGTGGGACCTGTACAAGAAGGACAGGTTGCACCTGAACTGGAGGGCAGCTGGATGGGAGGTTTGCTAGAGCTCTTTGGGAGGCTTTAAACAAGTATGGCAGGGGGTGGGAACCGGAACAACAGGCCAGTAAGTGTAGGGACTGGGGACAAAAGTGAGACTGAGATATGCATAGCACAAAGTAAGAGCAGGCAGAGGGAAGTCACGGGGCTTAGAGGGACAGGAGGTCTAGAGTGTATTTACTTCAATGCAAGAAGTATAACAGGTAAGACAGATGAACTAAGAGCATAGATTACTGCATGGTATTATGATGTTATTGTCATTACGGAGACATGGTTAAAGGAGGGAACAGGACTGGCAGCTTAACATTCCAGGATATTGCTGTTTTAGATGGGACAGAAAGGGAAACAAAAGGGGTGGGGGAGTTGCATTGCTGATTAGGGATCACATCACAGCTGTATTGAGGGAGGACACATCGGAGGAATCTTGCAGTGAGACATTATGGGTGGAGCTCAGGAATACGAAGGGTGAAATCACAATGTTGGCAGTTTTCTATAGACCTCCCAACTGCCCAGGAGAGACAGCGAAGCAGAAATGTAGTCAGATACTGGAAAGGTGTGCAAAAAAACAGGGTAGTTGTGGTGGGTGACTTCAACTTTCCTCTTACTGATTGTCAAAGAGAATCCCAAGGCCATTTATGCATATATTTGAAGAAAAAGGGTAACAAGGGAAAGAGTAAGCCCACTCAAGGACAAAGGAGGGAAGTTATGCATGGAGCCACAGGAAGTGGGGGAGATCCTTAATGAGTACTTTGTATCGGTATTCACCAAGGAGAAGGACATGGCTGATGTTGAGGTCAGGGATGAGTGTGTGAATGCTCTACAGAATGTCAATATATTAAAGAAGGAAGTTTTGGGTATCCTAAATCGTAATAAGGTGGATAAGTCCCCAGGGCCAGATGGGATCTATCCCAGGTGTTTGCGAGAGGCAAGGGAAGAAATAGCTGGGGCACTAGCATATATCTTCACATCTTCTTTGACCATGCGAGAAGTTCCAGAGGACTGGAGATTAGCCAATGTCATTCCCTTGTTTAAGAAAGGAAGCAGTGATAATCCAGGAAATTATAGGCCGGTGGGCCTGACATCTGTGGTGGGTAAGCTCTTGGAGGAGATATTGAGGGACAGATTTTATGCACATTTAGAAGAAAATAGACTAGTTAGTGACAGGCAGCATGGTTTCGTATGGGGAAGGTCATGTCTCACCAACCTGATTGAATTTTTTGAAGAGGTCACAAAGATAATTGATGAGGGAAGGGCTGTGAATGTAGTTTACATGGACTTTAGTAAGGCATTTGATGAAGTCCCACATGGCCGATTGATACAAAAACTAAAATCACATGGGATTCGTGTGGTAACGGCTAGATAGATACAAAACTGGCTTGGTCACAGAAGACAGAGGGTAGCAGTGGAAGGGTGTTTTTCAGAATGGAGACTGGTAACTAGTGATGTTCCACAGGGATCGATCTTAGGTCCTCTGTTGTTTGTAGTCTTTATAAATGATCTGGAGGAAAACGTGGGTGGTCTGATTAGTAAGTTTGTAGAGCACACGAAGATTAGTGGAGTTGCTGATAATGCCGACGATTATGAAAGGAGACAACAGGATATAGCTGGATCGGCAACTTGGGCATAGAAATGGCAGATGGAGTTTAATCCAGACAAATGCGAGGTGATGCATTTTGGAAGATCAAATTTAGATATGAATTATTCTGTAAGTGGCAGAACACTTAGGAACATTCACATACAGATGGATCTGGGTGTGCAGGTCCACAGTTCCCTAAAAGTGGCAACACAGCTGCCCAAGGTGATTAGGAAGGCACATGGCATGTTTGCCTTAGTTGGCCAGGGCATGGAGTACAAGAGTTGGCAAACCATGTTGCAGTGATGTAAAACCGTTGTTAGGCCACATTTGGAGTATTGTGTGCAGTTTTGGTCACCACATTACCAGAAGAATGTGGAAGCTTTGGAGAGAATGGAGAGAAGATTCACCAGGATATTGCCTGGTTTCGAGGACACTGGCTATGAGGAAAGGTCAAAAAAGACTCAGATTGTTTTCACTGGAAAGACGGTGGCTAAGAGGAGACCTGATAGAGATCTACAAAATTATGGGAGGCATAGATATGGTGGATAGTCAGAGGCTTTTTCCCAGGATTGAAGCTTCAATTACAAGGGGCACAGGTCCAAGGTGAGAGGGGGAAAGTTTAAGGGAGATGTGCGAGGGAGGTTTTTCACACGGAGAGTCATAGGAACCTGGAACGCACTGCCAGAAGAGGTGGTGGTGGAAGCAGACATGCTGGTGATATTTAAGAGGCATCTGGATGGTTACATGAACATGGAGGGAATAGAAGGATACGGACCAACTAAGGGCAAGTTTGTTTTTTAGATTAGTTGGGCATAATGATCAGCACAGGGTCGAGGGCCAAAGGGCCTGTTCGTGTGCTGTACTTCTCTTTTGTTCTTTTTTGTTCTCTTGTAGATAGGCAGCCCCTTTCGTTACTCTTGGTCCAACCTCCCCCTCTTTGGTTGCGTAGAGGTAAAACACTTAGCCATTTACTATAAGGCACTTGGATAGATTTCCTCCATCAGCAATGAGAGAACCATGTAAAACACACGTCAAGTACTAATATTCACTAACTTCACAAGGCGATGAACAGTGCAAGCGTGCATGCGCAGATTCAGCATGGCAGTCACTGTTAAGGCAGTACTCTTTCACCTCCATCGGGAACAAACACCCCGAAATAAAAAGGGTAGCATCAACAATGGTGACCATGAAATTACTGGATTACTGTGAAAACCCAACTGGTTCATTAATGCCATTTAGGGAGGGAAATCTGTTCCACGGCTCTACAAGCCCTGCTCTGCTACTAAATAATCACAGTTGATCTTCTGCTCAACTCCACATTCCTGCCCTACCCTTTATCTCTTAATTCCCTTAGTGTCCAAAACATAGCAGCCTCAGTCTTGAATCCATTTAACAATTGTTAATTGTATATAAATTGTTTAATTTTATGCAGTTGGT